CTTCTTTTTAGGTTCTAGCTTTAAGTAATATATTAATTTCTTTCTCTATTACTTCTTAAAAGAGCTTTTAATATAAATATAAATATAAGTTCTTATACTTATTAAGAAGCTTTAGTAGTTTATTATAATACTTCTATTTTATTTACTTATTTTATTTTAAGAGCTTTTTTCTAAATATTACTATAGTAAAAATTAAGTATACTATTATAAGCTCTCTCTTATCTTCTCTTAAGTTATAAGAGTATTAGATAAGTCTATTTAGAAAGTTATTATAATAGAATAAGTTTTATAAGCTATATAATATATAAGCTCTTAATCTCTTAATATTATTAGTATACTTTTACTTTAGTTATAAGCTTAAGCGCACTACTAAACTATAGTCTATTTTAGTTTTTCTACTTTTTAAAGCTAAAAGTAGATTTATTTTACTTTAATTTATAAAAGGCCTAAAATAAAAATAAGTAAGATAATATTATAATAAAGTATCTAGTTTTCTACCTTAATAAGTATTATAAACTTTATTCTAATAAGAGCTTCTCTATATAGGTAGCTCTTTATCTTTTAGTACTAGTAGGTACTTTTCTTTAATTTAGTATACTTTTTAGACGCTACTATTATACTCTAAATTAACTTATTATTACTAGTATACTCTAAGTTCTAGTATCTACTCTAGAGTTTATAGATCTATTAGTTCTTAAAAGTCTATATAAATTCTTAGTAGTTTACTAGCTAAGCTTTCTACTTATATTAAAGATATATTATCTACTTCTTTAGAGTTAGGCTAGCTTACCTACTTAATAAAAAGCTATAATATATTACTTTCTATTTTCTAGATAGGTTCTTTATATACTTCTTAGTCTACTTTCTTACTTACTACTATATAAAGTTAATTATATATATCTTTATATACTTCTTTAGTATTATAGAGCTTATTTTTATATAAGAGTTTTACTATTATAAAGAGCTCTTATATAGAGTACTCTTATTTTTCTACTTCTTTTTTATAGAAGCGTTTCTTATTAAATATTATATTATATATAGTAATTACTTTTTTAAGTTTAGAGACTTATAACTTATATATATTAAACGCTCTATATTCTACTAAATATCTAATATATTTTCTTAGGTTTACTTTAAAGCTCTAATACTCTTTATTAGCTAAGCGTTCTTTATTAAGAGAATAAGCTCTATAGCTATAGGCGTAGACTCTACTTTAATTAAGGTATAGGTTAGCGTTTACTAGTCTTATACTTTTCTCTTATTTATTATACTAAGTATTAAGTACTATATTTAGTACTACTAGGTTTTATACGTATAATAGGCTTATATTATATAGCTAAGTTATAGCTTCTACTATATTAGGCTAGAGCTATTATAGTAAGTTTACTTTAATTCTTATCTTAATTAACTTAGTAATAAGCTTCTATCCTATACGCTTTACTTCTCTATTTAGCTTATATATATATACTAGTATACGTTTAATAATAATACTCTACTCTTCTACTTATACTTTAAAGCGTAACTTTTCTTATATAAAGAGCGTTAAAATTTTATTATTTTATAGTATTATATATATTTTTAGTTTATACTTTACTAGTAGAAAGCTTTTAAAGTTATTAAATACTCTTATAATTTTAATTATTAACTTAGCTTAGAGAGTATACTAATAAAGCTTTCTACTATAGTTATTTTTAAGTACTTTAATCTAATACTCTTTACTATATTTAATAGATATATAAAAGAGATCTTATACTACTTTATAGTAGAGGTAAAGTACTTTCTCTCTTAGTCTTTAAGAGATTACTTATTTAGTATAAATAATAGCGTAGTACTTATACTTAAATTAATCTATTTTCTAGATTTAAGAATTTTTAGTAATCTAGACTAAAGCTTAGAGCGCTTAAAAACTAAAATAACTTACTTTTACATACTAAAGCTCTTTAGTATCTATCTAAAAGAATTTATTATATAATCTACGTAATTATTAATTAGGTATTATACTTATTATAATAAAATAGAACTTTAATAGCTTATATTTAATAAAAGTAAAGTTATACTTCTTATAGAGTTTAGCTAATATAAAGCTTTCTATAAAGTTCTTACTTAAAAAGAGTAATATATCTAACTTAAGATACTATAATTTTACTTAGTTTAGTAAAGCTTTAGAAATTATATTTATATAAAAGCTTAGTACTACTACTATATTTAAAAGTACTAGATTTTCTATATTATTTTTTTTATATTTATATAAAGTATTACGTATCTTATATATACTATAGCTAAGCACTTTATATAAGGTATCTTCTACTTCTATAGTACTTAGTATAGTAGACTTCTTAAAAGTTTTAAGTTTAATAAGCTTTATATTACTTACTAAGTAAAAAGTAGCTCTACTATTTAAGATTATACTTTCTAATAGTAAATAAGTATTAATATCTATAGTAGAGTATACTTCTTTAAGATTTAAGCTTTCTATAACTAAAAGTCGATTAATAAGTACTACTTAAATACTTCTTAAAAATCTTAGTATACTTAGTTTCTCTAATTAAGCTTATTATAGAGCTAACTATCTCTTTTTATTTAGCGCTCTTTTTAGTTACTTATACTTTAAGTTATTTAAGCGTATAGCTATAGTAGCTTTCTAATCTTTAAGAAGCTATAATAGCTTACTTATAAGTACTATTTTAAGGCGCTTATATATAGTAGCTTTATATAAGTACTACTTTCTATTAATTTACTTAACGTGCTAGTAATAAGACGTAGGTATAATACTGTTAAGTTATACTATATTATATTATAGTAGAAGTATATTTCTAAACACTTACTTAGCTTTACTATATATAGCTATATATATCCTTACTTAAAACCTTTATTAATTACTACTAAAGCTATAAATCTTATATAGTTTTAGAGAGCTACTATAGAGCTCTTAGCTCTAAGTAGTTATTATATAGCTTAATATTAAAAGAAGAGTATAGTTTTATTAGAGAGAACTATAGTTAATAGTTAGTAACTAGAGTTTTAAAGTATAGAATTTAAATTTTAAAAAATATTTAAATATAGACTTAAATATTCTTCTTCTAACTTCTATATTCTAATATCTTATCTTTAATATATTACTATAAATTATTATATATAACTATATTATAAGTATAAAGAGCCTAGTTATAGAATGTTTTACAGTCTTCTTAATAATAAGAATAATAACTATAAATACTACGCTAATAGCTACCTATTAATATAGTAAAAATTAAGTTATTTTTAATATAGACTACTTTAAGAGTACCCTTAACTACTAGATATAAGCTTATATATAGCTAGTTAGTTTATTTAACTTAAGTGTAGAAGAGCTTAAGAGTAGGTTTAATAAAGAACTATTTAGAATTAAACTTCTTTTTATTAGTATTATTTTTATACTAGCTAGAAAAGATATAAGTTTAAGAAAAAACCCTTTACTTATACTTAAAATATAAGATTATAGTAGTTATATAATATAGTTATAGCTAAGAGTATAAAAACTAATAAGTAAAATAAATACTTCTAAAATATTTATAAAAGGTATTTTAAAAGCTAGCTAAACTTTATTTATATTATTATTTATAGACTAAAATAAGTATAAACTAGTAGATAATTAATTTAGTAACTTAGATAGCTTAAGAGATAATAATAAAGAACTATAAGTATATAATTAATATAGTTACTTAAAATAATAGAACTACTAAGCTATAAGTATTTATAGCTACTTAGTAGTAATTATAATTATAATTATAATTATAATTATAATAGCACTAGTGCTACTTACTCTTATAATAAAGTAGTTACTAGAATATACTTAATAATAATACTACTTAGTCTCTAAGTAGTGTTAGTAATAGCTATAATAATAAGTATATTCTATTATATTATAACTATATAGCACCTTATTATATAGAAATAAAAAGTTAGTATTTTAATGCTAGCTTTAGGCTTAGCTACTTAAAATTTTCTTAATACTACTATAATATTATATAATAACGTATTAACGCAAGGACACGTTATATAGAAATACTATAGGCCCTGTCCTTAAGGCCTAGAGGAGATAGCGTAGTATCTATAGTTATTATTATTATTATTAAGAGGCCTGTAAAACTCTCTATAACTAGGCGCTTTATACTTATAATATAGTTATATATAATAATTTATAGTAATATATTCAAAATAGAATATTAGAATATAGAAGTTAGAAAAAAGAATATCTAAGTTTATATTTAAATACTTTTTAGAATTTAAATTCTATAATTTAAAACTCTAGTTACTTACTATTAACTATAGTTATCTCTAATAAAACTATACTTTTATTTTAATATTAAGCTTTATAGTAGCTATTTAGAACTTTATAGTAGCTCTCTAAAACTATATAAAACCTATAATATTAGCTTAAGTTATAATTAATAAGTTTCTAAATAAGTATATATATAGCTATATATAGTAAAGCTAAGTAAGTGTTTAGGAATACACTTCTACTATAATATAATATAGTATATCTTAATAGCGTTATGCTTATATCTTATTACTAGTATGTTAATTAAATTAATAGTTATTATAAGTTATTATTATACTAATAGTAATAGTAGAAGAGTAATCTAGCGCTAGTAGTGCGAATCTTTTAACGCGTAACTATACTTACTATTAACTATAGTAACTTCTAGTAAAAGTATACTTTCTTTCTAATAGTAAGCTCTATAGTAATAACTTAGAGCTTTTAAGTAGGTTTTTTAGATTATATAAAACTTAAAGCTTTAGTTATAACTAGATAAACTTTTAACTAAATATATATATAGCTATATAAAGTATAGCTGAGTAAGTAATTAGTAATATACCTTTACTATAATATTATATAGTATAACTTCATAGGGCTATGTCTACGTCTTATTACTAGCACGTTTATTATATTGATATGCTGTATCTTCCTTTTCTATAGTATCTGAGGCAGTTCTGTACAACACTTGTAGACTTCAAACCTAATATCCATGGCCTTCGAAAAGCTGCACAAGGGGATATGACGACACACCCCCTCGACTCTCTGCGTCTCCGATACGCCTATCGCTATCGCTTCTCTGGATGCATGTCTTGTCCATAGTCAGATGTGGAGTCGATACACTTGGGGTGTCGAACGTGTCCTCTAGGTGCTCCCACTCCTCATATGTTTTGAACTCACCACCTAAGTGCAGCTCTTCAATGCACTCAGGAAGCATTGTTCTAACGTCGAACTCTGTATAAGCGTCTTCATCGTCTTCCGCACGATGGAATCCTTCTTCTAACGGTTCATCATGTTGTGAATCTTCTTCCTCTTCTTCCGTTTCAGGTCGTAGTATTGACCATTCACAATCAAGTATGCGAAGCTTTCGGAAGCTTCGAAGTGAGACAACCGTCGGGCCGGGGACGTCAAGGCCAAGCTAGCAACAGTGATCAGCCAAGAATTTATTACGAAACAAGATCTTACATCATCATCGACATAGCCCTGACCAAGGCTAAGCTCCTCCAGCGAATGAGCAGCATATGTAATAACTGCTTCCAGAACCTTTTTGGCCTGATAGGAGCTTGTTTCCGACACTGTACTGCCACCGCCGTGATACGTGAATTTCTCCAGATGCCTGACCGCTGCAAGAACAACTGCTAAACCGTCCACATCAAATCGACAATCCCAAAAGAACAGCTCTGCCACGTTCGAGCACGGTACAGCACTATCTGGGAACAGACTGCGCTGCACTTGTCCACTAGGCGAGTCCCCCATCCCCTGCGCTGCAAAGATCTTCAACGAAGGAATACAGAGATAGTAACAGGCCCAGTTGGGAGTGACACATCCTTCCGTATCGTAGTAGGCGATGGCGACCGTTCTGAGATGTTTCAAAGGGAGCATCGGCGCTACCATTGGGTTCTGATATTCGTGGGCAATATGCCACAGGGCCGTCTCCAAACATTCTTCTTCGTGTACCACAGTGTGTCTGATAGTGGTAAGGTAAGGATAATAGTGCAACAGTAGTATAATGATAGCGTCTTCAAAGCCTCTGTGAATCCTATCTTCGATAGAGGCAATTGTGAGTTGAGGAACTGGCAGGATTTCGGTGGAGCGCGGGTGTTGACGCAGCACGGTCTTCGATTCTGTCACCGGATACAGGTGACGCAGATTTCTCGCCGCCTTGATGAACAAGCCCTTATCTTCCTCGGACGGCCCAATGCCGTTGTTTGGGTGGGTGCCATACAAACTTTCATTCACATTCCAGTTGTATTGACGGGTCGCTGGAAGATTGAGTTCCCTGATGTACCAGCCTTGGCGCGGATCGATTAACACCTCTCTCAGTACTCTCCACAGAAGCGTCCGCACATCTGTAGTGTCAACAACTCTCCATTCCGACAGCTGTCTTCCGTGCTCTTTCAGCGTCGAATTCGCAAGTGTCGCATGGTCTCTGCATGTGAGGGCAAAGTTAAGGGTCGAGTCTGGATCCAAGGATTCGATGACGTTGAGTTTGAGTTCCGGCGGGAGTGCAAACAAAGCCATGTAAATCGGTGTTGAAGCAGTCCTACCGATGGACGCGTTGTGCTCTTTATATCACGATGAACATGTCAGAGCGCTGGAAGTCTATCAGCCTTGTGCAGGGCTGCGACGGGGTGGCGTGTTTTGCGCGAAAGCTCGGACCTGGCAGCAACCTGAAATCCACGCGCAGATGTGGTCGTTTGGTGCATCATTGCTCTTGACTCCATATCCCGTGCACATCTCCGCAGATTCGCTTTTACGTAACATATACTCATGCTCAACATTAAGATCGGGAGCGGTTAGGCCGGCGGACTTCGTACACGCGCCATGGATCCTGCCTCGAACCCGATGCATAGTTCCGTACATGGAAGGACTTTCGTTTGGCAACAAAATTTTAACCTCCTACCATCGGTTATGATGAGGTTCACATTATGTTACACTTATTCACAGAAAGACTTCATTTGTGCCCCGATAGAGAGCATGTACAGGTCACGCAAAACATTGAAGCTAAGCTGTGTGTATTGGATGTTGTGCCAGCCAATCGATTATGCAGCCTTGGACGATACTATTTTACATTCAGCGGACTTCCAACTTTTCCGGGTATGCTCCGCATCGTTGGCAACAGGCCTGGCTGATAGGACAGTGACGCTAGTAATTGCAGTTGTGGTGTTGTTGCCACACTTTGCCCAATATGTCCACCTTATCTAACCCGCTTCTTCATCGCCATGATTAAGAATTACTAAATTTCTATTTTCCTCTAGATACCCATATTACAGCTTATGCATGAAAAGGTTGTTCTCTAGTAACGGATCGTAGTGAAAAGCAAATAGACCAAGACAGTGTTTTAAAGGCATGTGCACATATAGATTCGTGTGCTCACAAACGTTTCATCCCAGAAACGGCATAGCGAACGATATGTTTGATAGTGACAGGAATCCCGTTGATCGTGCTACTGTTCCCATATGTGCTTGGTTGAGGATTTCCAACCCTGCGTGGAATGCACCCTTCTTTATGTTCATTCTTCGCTTGTCGACTCTTTTATAGAAACTTTTACCAATCGCACCATCTTGGTTGCTATCCCCAGGCTCACATCCTTTGATCTTCTCGAATTTTGCATCATCAGTGCCACTACTCTGGTCATCCCGACCAAAGTTCCTTGACGAAATTCCTTAAAGTACGATGTCTATCTCTTACTTGTAAGTACAGAAGTCAACTGGTATAGGTCGTGTGGCGTGACCCACTTGTATCGATACTCACAATCAATTAATCTATCTCCTTCCGCTCTTTCAAAAAGGATCTTGTCAACTTCTGATCATTGCTTTAATACATCCACGCTACTACATGGACATATCTGGTCATTGTGGATACTTGGTTCTGCTGTACGAAGAAAGAAGTCTCATCCGAAAGTCATTTGCACGAATATTCATACAAGCTGCATGACCTCGGAATATCGTACCTAGATAGCCATGTTGCTATAATGCGACTATGTGACCAGCATGCTAGTGTGTACCCACACCTGCATCCAAATTGTACCTCGACGCAGCTCTAGTACAGGGTCGTAAGCTTCTAGATCTTCGTGAATACCATTGACGAATTGGAAACTTATAAAGCTGTCACTTTGATCTTCGGAAACTACAATCGCCTTGGCCTGCTTCCACTCATCTCGAGCGGCTTTGGAGAAGCCACCTGTGTTACGCTGTTGTATGTCTTCGCAGATGTCTGAAACCTTCTTGCACATTGAATGTTCCCCGTGTAGAGTTTTCGAGCCGGGGAGAAGTGGCTTGCCGGTTCGCAACTACTGTTTGAGAGAGTTGAACAGAGCAGCCGCTTCGTTCCCATCGCGGACGAGTAACAGAGCGTGCACTTCAAGGCTCAAAAGCTGCTCCAGATCGTTAATCATCAAGCTAGTGTCTAATTACTCTTGTCCTGGATCTGAGAGACAGCTGTGTTTCTCGGCCAAACAGACGGGACTATATCGCTTCCAATGATATACATGGTCCAATTCGAAGTTGGTACAAGGAGCAAGCTGCACAGATTTCTTGTGGAGACTAGATATGGACATCGGTACAAGTATTACGAACACAGTTTGGGAACCGGGCAACTGTACCTAGGTATGGCATTCGTCCGAAAGTATGTTCGAGTATTCTTCTTGAAACCAGTCTTTAACTTGAAGACAAACTCCAATATTGAAACATGCGACAATGCGTGACAGCGCATCAAAATCAGATGCAGCTAGATAGCGTTTTCTTGAAAAAAAAAAAAAAAGACTTTTTGATGGTATGGAGAGGCAGACCGCTAACACAATGTGACAAACAAGGTATCCATGATGAAAGGTAGTCCATGCAACTTCTCATTCGTCATCTCACAAGATCTAGGTAAGTATCTCAAGCGCCAATCAAAGACTCAACCCAGTAAACTCCAGCGCCGAGTATGCTCTTCCATGTTCAATCAATGTATCCTACATAAACGTCGCCAGTCACGTACCCACAGAGCCCAGGAGTATCGCCAATCCTAAACGGCTGCATAGCCTCCTCTGCTGCCACTTCCCTGAACAGTTCCCATGACCTTCCTGGCGAAATCTTTTGCAATGTATGGGATGTCGCGGATCGTGTCGCCGTGGGGCAAAAGCTAGATATGGAAGCACAAAGTCAGTGTATGTGTCAGAAACAGTTTGTGGAGGGACACTTACGTCCCAGCCGCGAGCGCCGTAGCGGTTGTAGTTCAACCATGAGCCGAATATGAGATAGGCAGCAATTGCAAGGAAAAGACTGGACATGTGTTAGTGCACGATGATACATTTGAGCTTCGGAGAGGGTGACGTACATGATGAAGAACCAGCCGAAGAAGCCCCAGTGTGAGCCTCCGTCGGGCGAAGGCGCGTCTGCACACGCGTACTTGGTTCGCCACTCCAATCGAAGTGTTTGGACTTTGTTGTCTTTTTCTTCCGTCTCCAAGTCATAACCACAGAAGCGTAAACTGTTGTCATTGTCCTCACATTTGCTCTTGCCGCTCTCCTCTCTTGGCCGCAGCTTGTCTTGTTTCTTTTCGTCATCCTTCTTGTCGTCGCCCTTGTCGTCCTTGTCATCTTTATCACCGTCTTCGTGAGGACTCTTGTCCATCTCATCGCCTTCTAGTCCCGTCCTGTCCTTGTCGCAAACGAACTCAATGATAGCGCGCTGATTGACGCCCTCCCTCTTGCTGTCGAAGGGGAACCTGCCCCCGTTTAGCGTCGCCCGGACGCCCTCTAGTCCGGCGTCCTTGTTGCTCTTGGAGTGACCCAGATTCTCGAATTTGGCATCCATGTTCCTCCCGTTCTGGGTTGTGTATGTGCCGGCAATATCGATTGGGGTGATGGTGGAGTTGTCGTCCTTGCTGAGGTCGATGTTCTCTCGGATGCCACACACCCTGGCCCCGTGATGGCACTCGGTGGCCAGACTGCCGCCCTTGTGCCATTTGAGAGAGTTGCAGATGTCGATTGTGAAGTTGTATTTCCATTCGAGTTCCTTGGTGAGATCGGACTCCTTGTAGTGGACCACGTGCGGCCCGCCAAGCTCTTTGAAGTTGAAGTGCGCGCCATCGGCGAGTATGTCTTTGCAGTCAAAGGCACTTGCCGAATGTGGGAGAATGCACGCGAGGGCGAGAATGGGCAGCAGCGGCGATCGAGACCGTGATGGTGCCATGGTGGCGTTTGTGCAGCGACGCGAAAGTCGTGGTTGATGGGAAGACGACGGCGGAGCTCTGGGGATAGGACACGGCGTTGCGGAGATGACGCGCGCGCACGGGTGACAACAAGGCAGCTGTCAACCGCTTGGGAACTGTCGCAACGTCACGTTGGCTAGAGGGGGCGACGCTTGTGATGCAGGCTGGAGTGTCACTTGAGCAGGGCAGAGCAGGGCAGAGCAGAGCAGAGCAGAGCAGAGCGACGCTGTCCGACCGCAACAGCGCTGCTGCTTAGTCAGTGACATGGGGAGCCCTGCGTCTCCGACTGCTCCCTCAGAGCACCCGTCAACCGTCGACCTTGGATTCCAACACGGCGCGCCAACCCAACTATACAAACAAATACGTGACGGGCATACATGTCCATTCAGCTCCGTCTTGGACATCACAGACATCCGGCTTTACGCAGCCTTGCCTTGGCGCGTGGTGGTGCCCTCGCCAGCCAGCTATCGGCCCCTCATGCGATCCACCTGGTCTAACTCCCGGCTGTCATCTTCGATAGTTGTATCGTATCTACAGCATTGGTGGCTGTCGGTGTCGTATCCTTTCATTCCATGGAGCCATCTCTTGAATACGAGTTGCAGTACACGGACGGACCTAAAAATAGACCGTCTTGGGGAATAGCTTCAAAGTATCTTGTACATTCTTTTGAGCTAACGTGATCTAGTATCTAGTCTATAGAATCGTCCCCACACTCCTGTACTCCAGAGGATACAAGAATAGAATTTTACCATGATCAAAAACAGGATTCATCAGAATGAGTGAAATTCCTTCCCCAAGAGCTTTCGTATCGAGCCGCCGTCATCGATAGTCGACACACTAGTCAGAGAGGCAACGGCCCGACAACAAAGCATCCTTGGAAGAAAGCTGAACTGAGAAGAGACAGACGCAGTGCAGGGAAAAGTAGACGCCAATCATGCAAGCCTATGCGCAAGAGAGGAGCCGAGCGCAGCCAGGTGAACACAAACTTGTCTCATCGTCGAGGGTGCATGACAAGAGTGAAGGCGCCAGAAATTGAAATGAACCGAGGCTATACGTGGCTGCAGAGAGAAGAAGGGTACATTGTGTATGAAGAAATCGACGATACAAGTCTAAAGAAGAAAAGGGTATCTCCGACGCCAGGGTTGCAGTTTAACCATGCCATGCAAAACCAGACAGACAGAAGAAGAAAAGTGACTTGAAGAGCGACCGGGATGAAGAAGACGTCTATTTGCCTTGACTTCCCTGGCTCGAGCCGCCCCTAGGATTGGCGGGCATTGGATATGGAAACGGGGCGTATGGAAGTTGACCTGATCCAGAGTTGCTGCCAGCACTGGACGTGCCCGATGGCGAAGATCCCGAAGAAGACATGGTGATGTTCGTCACAGGTATTGAGGCTTCGAGGGGTTGTGACTGAGAGCGCTGTGGGCGTTCGTAAGGCGTAGGAGAGCGTTCCTGTCTCTGAAGCTGTAGCGGCGAACTAGATCTTGAGCGATGACGGATAACAAGGGGATGACCCTGTCGAGCCCCCGACTCTGGAGTTTGTGCCCGTGAAGAGGCGGGCGACCTTGTAACGACAATTACGGGTGTTGACAGGGGTTGTTCAGAGGTCGATTGAGATATATCCTCCAGACCCGGGTGTGCTGCAGAAGAGGTAGTCGTCTGAGTGACTTCTGTAGTGCAGCTTCCGGTGGGTTTTGGGTTCCTTGTCGGGCTAGACGGTTTGGAACCACGGTCGCTCATATACCAGGAGGAGAGACACAGATGTGCTTATGCTCAGATCTGGGAAGTAAGCTGGTTCCAGTGTGGCGTCGCTGCTGACTAGTCCAAGTCACAAGAGTCGGTCGAAGAGGTCTGGGAACGTGTTGGTGACAGTCTTGAGTAGGTTGTCGTGGTAGCTGGTGATGATGCCCTAAGCCGAAGGCTCCAGATCTTATATCTTCAATACTACGTCTTTGGCCCCAGATCCTAGAGTTTTGGCTCCCTGACTTTACGACCACCAAAGGTCGAAAATAGCAAGACTGATGTCTGAACAGAGGAATTATCGAGAAATCCAAGCCGGTCTCGTGTTGCATAATCCAGTATGTGGCTTGTTCCTGCACGCTTCGGAGCCAAAATCGTTTCTTCTATACGGGTGACCCAAGCGTCCGTAGCGTCGGTACTGTAAATGCGGTATTGGGTCATAAGGCTGTACCCGACCAGTTGGAGAAGGTGGTGAGACTGCAGCGGGACCGGTGAGTGGGTATTTAGCGTGCACGGAGAGAGCCTTTGTAGATGTATGGCGTACGGATCACGCTCTGCCTGAAGAGATTTGTATGCACCGTTGGCGACTATGCAGCGGGACAGTGTAGGATTGCTGTCGTCAGATGCTTATTTGAGCCGCACGCACGACGACCGGTATGCGAAGATTTAGGCAGGGTCTGTTTGGCGGAATAGGCAACGATTGAGGCATTCATGAAGAGACGTCTTTACCGCCATGCGTCGTGTCACTGACTTGTGTCGTGCTTTACTACATCAGCTATTTCCACTTCGCCGATGGTATACATGGCCAAGTCTCTTTCTGGTTCCTTCTCGTATTGGGTGGCTCCCAGAGAACCACCATTTGTCCTCACTGTGATAAGCATGCCACATCTTCAGGCACAGTGAAAGACCGGCCGAAACTTTGACACGGGTCGTATTCGTGACTTGAAGCGCTCACGCGACTCTGCCGTTGCGCATCTGGCTCGCCCCCGGTTGGCGACCACCGAGCTCGGTATAGCCGACGGGATGTTTCGATTTGAGATGATCATTTTGGCGCAACTACGAGATTCATTGGATGGTTGGCCACTAATCCAATAGAGCCATACTTGCAATGCTCGTGTCAAATGCGCTGACGAGTCAGAGGCTCCAACGGTCGCTAATATTAGCCGTCTTAACACGATTTAACACGAGGTGTAGTCACTACGAGAGAATGTTACTCAGCTATCGCCAAGCTCACGTCTTAGCCCGCGCATCGCATCCTGTCATGCAGGAATCCGTGACCCGATTAGTATTGCATGATGTCACCGCTGTCGCATGGAAGATTAGTTGCGATGTATTGGTATCCAGTGATGCGTGCGGGCTTTGGTGTTCGGAGACTTTGTCAGCGATAGGGTTGTGCTCGCTTGTCAAATTAGGGCGTAAGAATGGCAGGGATACCGCTTGGTAGACTAATCTTTCCAAGATCCTTTCCAGAAGATTACTGAAGGCGGAATGCCATTTGACCCGTAAATGGTGCCCAGATGAGCTGCAGCATTAGATTACTACATATCTCTGGGCACATTTATGGCGGTGTAGGTACTGTCGCAGCGCCATACCATTGAATTTATGACAGAGCTGATCAACCAACACTGTGGAATGACGGAGAGGCTGAACGAACGATGCCAATTGCAAAACCCCCCACGTTCATCTACGATCACCCTAACACGGTCTTCGGTAACGAGGACCGGGAGATCTAACCACACGTTGAGCAATGGCACTCGTTGCGCAGATGCGTCTGGCTCAAGACGACATAGGGACCTAAAAGCCCTTAATTAGCGTCAACTACTAGACAGCTATCTTCATTACCGGACTTTGCAATCATTGCAAATAATAGACATGCCTAGGTATTTTGCCGCGAGACGCGGTTGTGTAAGCATAAGTTAAGCAGTTTTCCCAGTTGTTACAGGCCTTCCCGCTTACGCAATCCGTTGGATGGCTTATTCCATCGCATGCCACAATTGGCAAAAGGTACCTCAATAACATATCACAAGTGGGCGGGTTATCGGCCGACAACATTCAGCGCATATCCGATGCTGGAGATGAATCAAAGAGCCGAGCCAGTAATTTGATCCTTCTGGAGCAACTGATATTGTGATTCTACGTCTACAATTCCATGCGCCTGGTTGTGAGCAGCATACACTCGACGAGTGCGCACGTTCCCAATAGGTATCATGGATCAGGTTTTACTGTGCGAAACAGCATTATCATCCAGCCCTGCGTCATTGCTTTTCTGAATCGGTAAAAAGATACTACTCGTTGGCTACTCAAGTATGTCTTAATCGAGCGTTTGGACTATACATTGGTCTTCATTAATACGAGTGTAGGCATTGGCAAGAGCCGCATGACGGTCGCTACGCATTCCAGACACTACTAAGACCTAAAGAATGCATTGTTCTTCATATTGAGAGCTGGCGAAGTTGTAAATAAGACTTACCTTGGCATATTCAGCACGAATGCGCAAGTCAATACTGATGACAATGTTTAAACGAATACTGAGTAAAGAGTGGCCGTGCACAATACAACAACTGTAGTCAAACGCTAGTGCGGGTTCACTTATCTGGAGTTTTCGTTCAAATTTGACCGTGCCTCATTTGGACAGGTAGTAATGTGACAGCCTCAGCCAAAACTACTTAGGTATTGACCGTCAGAGGAGATAATGAAACCTTGTACCTACTCATTGCGAATCTTTAAATGCGGTCGAAGCGTCTCATACTAGTGCATAAAACATGTTTCTCCTTTCTCCTGTGCCTTCTTCTTGAGCATGCCCGTCGTTTGTTGTTCTTTTGCTCGCGCTGCGAAGGATGATAATCGCAGCGCAAGTGGAGAGCATAAAATCACTGGAATTCCCTACGAAGTGGTAATAGGCTAGGTAGTCTCATACCGCCTGGAAATACCTCAGCAGCGTTGCAGCCAGGACTTCTTGGTGATCAAATGAGTGGATGTTACCAAGATTGGCATGAGTTCGTAGGTAGGACAAGAAATCTGTCCAGCAGTGCGAAGGGTACAGGACTGTAACGAGACGAGAGCTACAGCGGCCTGTCCACAGGGCGATGTGCTTCCATAACTGAACTCACAGATGGAAGTGTATCGGCTGAGTCGGTTCTTGTCGGTGTGCAGCGAGTGTCAGCTTGAACGCACAGATGCTGGTCAGAGCGTCGGCATGACGAACATGATGACGGACACAGAAAAGCAATATTGCGCCTGGAAAGATACACGGCTACAGGCTATAGGTTCGTTTGCAATGCCGATGAGAATACGAGACGCCAAAGGACGTGCTGATCGCGATTGCTGAGCGGTCAAGACCTGAGATGACTGCATGCCAAACTGGACGCGAACATCGCGCTCGCGCTGACGCCAGATCACATGCGCGCGTCAATGACGTCAACCATACTTTGCAGTCAGACCACCTCATTGGTGAGGTTGTGTAGTATGCCGTAGGGAAATATTGGAGAGTTTGAACTAAAGCACTTGGATGCACTTGCCGTGCCTATATGATGGCATTTCTGGTTACTAACCGGGAACCTGCATGCTAGATCTTAGATCGATCGCCCATTAAGTGGGGCGTCTACGATCCAGGAGACATGGCATTTACTATTGTCCATGATGTGGCTGGCGGTACCTGGAACTTCTCCATGTTCTGATCCACATGGCGGTCACCCACAATGACGACTCGTCTTGACTTATCACTGATTCAGGGGAGTACCTGGACAGCCCCCTACACGATGACCTCGTCAACCAACACAAACGGCTAGCGACATCCACATTGTGCCTGGAGCCCAGACCTTCCTGCGTGCGCGGCAGCGGGTAGCAAAGTGGATGCGAAAAGTGCTCCAATCTCAGGTACAAAGTGAACTGAGCAAGCACCCGATCGTTGACGTAGCAAACTTCAGGGGACTGAAATCGATCGTGCGATACATTGCATCACACCTTCACGAGATAGGGAAATTACGCTCCTTTGAGGGAACCTGACGTGTATAAGAACACCGGGGTTCGTCTGCTACATACTCACTATCAAACGCAGCTATTTACCATTCCCACACAACTCTTCCAACCATCACTACAATCTTCCCAGCACCATCAAACATCACCATGTCTGCCAACCCAGGAAACGTTGTCGGAGGCCACAAGGCAAACCTCAACAACCCAAGTAAATTGCCTATGTCCCGCTGGCCTTCAACACTGACATTTTCCAGACACATCCGACGAATCCAAGCAGCACTCCAAGGAGGTCCTTCAGGAAATCGAGAATGGTGGTGACGCGAGCGCCGTATCTTCTTCCAGTGGAGACAAGAACCCCAATAACGTTGCTGGTGGTCTTAAGGCTACGCTGAACAACCCCAACACCTCGGACGAGGCAAAGCAGAGCGCGAAGGAGAGGCTAGGTCAGGAGTAAGCCGCTGTTGCGTCTGAATAATGCTTCGATGCCTGCAAGTGGATCGAAGAGCAGTGAGGCATCCAAGCGGAATGTGCGGATACGGTCGTGTAGCGTTATCGACGAATGATACCATCAACAAACACATTCCACCCTTGCATCCTGTGACGTTAAACCATAGCACATTATGACAGTCACGACTGCACCATGCAAAAGTGATGTCTGTAACTCGCTCGATGCATGCTTGTTGTGCCTACTCTTTCTCCGACTTGAGCAAGCCGACGACAACCTCAACCACCCTCCGGAACGCTTCCATCTCTTCTTCTACGGTTCCACCCATGCCTGCACTGGCAAAGCTGGATGAGTTTCCGACATATACAGGCTTTCCCGTCTTACGCGCGAGCACCTTGGATAGACGAGTCGTGAAATCTAGAGTGCCGCCGTGAGTGAAGAGCGGTGTACTAAGTGCTTCAGCAGGTTTGGCCATCTGCGCACGTCGTCAGCTTATGTACTTGCAAGATGAAGGTTGTTAAATATGATATTTACGTTAGGCATGGCGTATACGAAGGAACCAAGGGGTGCAGAAGTCGCAGACTCGGCTGCAGCAGTCGTGAGGAAGAGCAACAAGTTTGGGCCGTTGTCCGTGAGCTGGAGATGTATATTTGTATGTGGTGCCATTGGGAGAGAGAATGAGACTTCAGTGAGCGCGTGCGTTGTGATGCCGTCCATGATTGCAGCATCCATTGTCGCGTGTTGAAGGCAAGCGCGAAGAGTCAAGTCGCGATGATGATGGAGGACCGAGGCAGGTGGGGCAATAACTGCGAACCTTACTCTGAAGCCTGTCACGAGACAATAGCGACCCAATGGACTGAGCGAACACGAACAATAATTGCAACAGTCAGCAAAGCTACAGACCACTTACGAAACTCAGGGCATCATCAACCTTTTCTGAATGTAAGATGAAAGCATCATCGCGAGAACCCTACGACCCTACCACAGACCCTGAGGAACAAAATCTCATCCTCTCAGTTCTAGACTCTTTTCGGTATGCTCACATGTGCCTCCCCAAGATGACACCGGAAGACAAGTCGCTGACATCTCCGCAGCTCCTACCGCCGCCTTGCTCATTACAATGGGACACACCTGCGCCGCCAAGCCTTCTACTCCCTCCCACAATCGCATTGGACACTGCTATCCCGCCCGCCTTTCTCCATCCTGTCTACACTCTCTCAAATTGACGACCTGATTGACAGCAATGCTGAGCTAGCAGAAGCTATTTTCGTAGCAGGTTTCAAAGCCTTCCTAGCCCCCACTCTAGACAGTGACTGGGTAGCTTCAATTGTGCCAGAGAAATATGCATGCGACGAATACAAGGTCTTCGACGCTATCATGGATGAGCTTGGAGCAAAGACGAGTCAGGGTGATGTGGATAAGGCACGGAGTTGTGTTAACCAGTTTTGGAGGGAGTGGAGTCAAGCAGGGCATGTGGAGAGGATCAAATGCTTCGATCCTGTTGTAGCGGCAGTGGAAGAAGAATTTGCCTCGAGAAGCAGTATCACCCCAGATTTGGATCGCGCAAATCTCAAAGTTCTGGTTCCTGGGGTTGGGCTGGGACGTTTGGTCTTCGATATCTGCCATGCAGGATTCAGTGTCGAGGGGAATGAGATTTCCTACCATATGCTCATGGCAAGCGCGTTGGTCTTGAATGACACAAAAAGTACTGGACAGTTCAAGATTGCTCCCTGGGCACTGAACAGCTCAAACCACGTCTCCCGGGAGGACCAACTGAGAACCGTCAGAGTACCGGACATACATCCAGCGACAGAATTAACAAAAGAAGGGTCCTCAAGAGTTCCAGCTGGTGAACGAATGAGCATATCAACAGGCGACTTTTGCGTTGTCTACGGTCGGCACGACTGTACAAATGAATTCGATGCAGTAGCGACTGTCTTCTTCATTGACACTGCGCCGAATATTATTCGCTATATCGAAGCTGTTCGTAACTGCTTAAAACCCGGAGGCTTATGGATTAATCTTGGTCCACTATTGTGGCATCCACCACCACGGAGAGTGAACGACGAAGGTAAACTGGCCGAGGATGGAGAAAGGAGAGCCGATGTGGATGCAGGGATTGGTGATCCGGGCTCGGTAGAACTCACACATGACGAAGTAATTGCATTAGTTGAGCATTTTGGGTTTGTGATGGAGAGACAAGAGCATGGTACTATCGAGACGGGATATATCTCCAACACCCGGAGTATGTTGCAAAATACATACCGTCCTTCGTTCTGGATCGCGAGGAAGAAATAAGAAGATACCAATATTTACTGATGTCGGCTACACTGAGATCTTCTTTCGCACATGCTCTTTATTCCATTATCAAGATTCTTCGTTACGATGCATGCACAAGATAGCTCTGATGGTGATAGAATTGAAGGTTTATGGTTCGTGATGAAGAGCAGTTTGATATATAAAGAAAGAAACATCCTGCTTCCCAAGCCTCGAGACCAGAAGGAGAGTGAATATGGTATCATGCAACAAATGTACAAAGAAATGGAACCCTGACATCGCCCCTCACAAGACCCTAGCTGTTAGTGTCTGTGTTGTAATATGGTTTAAGCAACCATGGTCTGATTGGAGTAGTCAGGTCCTTTGCCTTCGGACCCACCCAGTCGAGCGTTGGCATGTGCAAGGCTAGATTGTGCAGCTTCTTGGAGCTGGGTTTCGACGTTTCGTTCCCGCTCCCGCTCATGTGGGGTGTTACGGCCCGATGGTACCCGTGCATCGTGTGAGCCATCGCGCTGTGGTGGGAGTGGCTGTGTATGTTGATCTGAAGGTTGTTGGTGGGCTTGCTGATGCTGAGGTGTGTGCTGGCCGTTGCTGTGTGAGATATGCGATGGTGTTGGCACATGATGTGAAGGACTCATCATCGCAGCAGGGCTTCCCGTACTTGCGCGATCACCACTTTCATGGTCGCTAGTCTCACTCTGACCATTGCTGGTAGTACCGGGCGGGTAGGTATATCCACCGCGTAACTCACCCTCTTTGACTTCTTTCCATGAGCACTTTGCATGCTTCTTCGTGCACCCCACACATGCCGTGAGGTTCTTCAGGCAATCCATGTGTAACCTCCGACAGCGATCACACGGTGGAATTATGCGTTCACCCTTGGCCAGACCTTCCATCCTGTGTACCATTTCAACCTTGAAAGGGCCTCCGTCATCCTTTTCTGGTTGTTGACTGGCGCGTTGACTCGAGGCGGGAAGGAGATTGGAGGGAGTGTTCGGTATCGGTACAGGCGAGTTCATCATGGAGTGCAGCTCAGACTCATTGAGGGGTTGAGGTGGCCTTGTAATATGTTGCAGCGGAGCCTGAGGGCCATCAGCGGGCTTCGGGACAGCCCTGGTGGGAATTGTTGCAGGGGTAGATGGGTGAGAGACCGCATGGCTGCCCATGGACGGTCTCCGTGCATCGGCGGTGCTATTTGGTGGCTGCGAGGATGAGCTCCGACCATTTGTTGTATGAAACTTGGCTAGGAGTTCATGACGGGTAGACGACGAAGTACCGTGGCCGCGGCCATGACTGTGGCCGTGCCCGTGACCATTAGCTTCATGATGCTGACGCGCATTGACTGCGACGAAGCCACCACTACCACCAGGTGATGTCTGCGAGGCTTGGGTATGAGCTTGAGCGTGTCCCTGGCTGTATCCCAAGTTCGGGACGGTCGAGCTGCCGCCATTCATAAGTGCGACGTTGGAGGGGCTAGTAGGTCGAGGAATGGGAGGAGCGGGACTTGCGGTTGCTCTTCGATCGAGGATGGCCTGCTTACGACCCTTGAGCCTGTGATTGAGCTGCCGAGTGCGAGCAGCGACTGTCGAACGTTAGCGAGTTAGATGCTAGTTATGGTGCTTGGTCAGACTCACCCTGATCGGCCAGTGAGCATATCTGGCTCAAGTTCTTCTCTAGAATCTCCATGGTGCCCAGCTCCTTCTCCTCATCTTCTATGATGGGTTGCGGAGGAATCATCTTCTGCGGAATGCCCGATGATATCAATACAAAGTCCTCTTCTGAGATCTGGACTCGACACTGCTTGGTGTAGAACTGGCAGACGCGTACCCCTTCGCTCATCTGGTCCAGCTGGAATTGCTCCGGCTTGTTGCGCGCAAACTCGACCACGTCCAGCCAGGTCACCGTCGTCCCGTCTTTTCCATGGCTCTTGAGTACTCGTGGGGGGCCGTCGAACAGCCTTTCGAATCGCTTGATCAAGATGGGTCCCAGCGGTCTTGCGCCCAGGTTGCAGGCCATGCTCTCGTGGCGGTCCAGCACGCCCTGGTAGTCGCTGAGGACGGAGAGTATGTTGGGCAGGGTGTCATCATTGGTGATCAGCGGCAGGTCCTTCTCGAGGTGTCTGGCGAGGTAGTTGATCTGGAGGTGGTTGTGGGTCTTAGCGGCTTTGGGGACGGGCGCGGGCGAAGCCAGGTGCATCTCATGAGAAGGACTGCGTTTGCGCTTGAGGTCGCTGGGCAGAGATGGCGCATGGTGCTGTGTCGCATGTGAGGGCATGGTGCGCTCAGCCGCAGCGTGCGATTCCGGGTTGGCCATACCTTGGCCTGGAGGGATGCCGGGTTGGTGATTACTACGAGGGCGGAATGAACGGATGGCAAGATTCGAGGGTGGAGCGGAGGACGCTAGGCTCGAACAACTCAGCACAAGCACACTACAGGGCGCTCGCGTCTAGTCGCGAAGGCCCGAATTTACAGGACAAGATACATAACGCACGAGGGAATGGTTGGGAGAGTTGCAAAAGCGAGGGTGGAAAGCCAAACGGCTGCTCGGTGGCTGAAGAGCCCCGAACGGAAAGCAGAGGGGCGGACAAGGAAGCACCCATCGTACCGGAAATAAGAAAGAGCTTTCCAAGAGCGGCCCTCCCAGCCAATCACTTGTGGTGTGCAGCTAAAAGCGGCCCAGGCGTTTTGATGTGCAATAAATGCGCATCGCGGGCGATTCAGCTTCTGCCGACT